AAATCGAAACCGAAAGCCAGAAATAATGGAGCATATACAGAACACAAAAATGGACAGGAACTTCCCTTGAGAACCGTGCAGCTTCCTTCTTTCTTCTGGCCGTTCTTCTTCCTTCTATTGGCTGAGATGTAGGCTCAGGAACAGTCCTTCCACGCCTTGCAATCGCCCTCCAGAGAGAGGTGAGAACCGGTAAAGAACCCCCCACACTCGGCTTAGGTCATCGACCGAAAAGATCTACCGAAGGCAGCCAAGAAATCGTCCCTAACGCACTGACCTAAGCCTCACACGAGACCTCCACAACCCAGCTCTATTTCACGCCTAGGTAATACACCGAAGTCACTCTACAATGGCTTACAGTGAGTATCAAGGGGTGGGCTGGAGAGGAGAGAGCTTAACCGAGAAGAAGAGAGAGTATTTATCAAAGAAGGCGAGAGGAAGTGTATTGGGGAAGCCAAATCCACGTGAAGTAGTAGAAAATTAGGGCACACAATCCGGGTTAAAGCATAGGCCCAACAATGGTGTTAAAGAGAACCACCAAAATAGGCCCAATAAGCCCACAGAGGCAATGAACCCAGTTCATAGATTTTGTACCTCTTTTGAATTCTCATCCAGTATTCGAGTTTTTGTGTGTACCTTAGAGCTCTTCATTTTGTCAAATCAATTACCATCACGCTGGTGTTGAAGTAACATGGGTTACGACCTTTGAATACTGTGGAAAATGCTGGACTTTTCCAGAATCTTGATGTGAAGTAATTGCTAAAATTACCATGGCAATCTTCTTCCCATCTTCTCTCTGTAGCAACAACAGTGATCCGGTGCTCGGTATTGAAGACTCCGGCGGATCCAGCACGTCTCGCCGGGTGCTGGGTCCGCCACTAAGCATATTTTACAATGATAATTATTTCTTTTTTCCCTTTCAAGCCCAATTGAGCTAAATTTGGGGATGTCATTGTTGACCTCAAAAGATAGGTTGTATTTCTCAAAGCCAACCGTGTATTTTTCCTCTCAATTTCTTTAGAGTTTTTTCCTCTTAGACTTGTATTCGAATCCCCCTTTTTAATGGCTCAATGAACTACTAGTAGGAGTTTGATAAGTTAACTTAATCATTTTCGTGATTTGACATTTTTGATTTTTCATTATTTTATTAAAATTCAATAAGTTCTCATTTCAAAAGTTCACAGTCAGGTCACGAGTCAAATGAGTTCTAACAAAATGCACGAACTATCTGAATTAGCACGGAATCGCTGAATTAATCAGTGCAACACGTGAAATATTCTTAAACTTCACCAAATTACTTAATAACAAAAATTCGACAATTTATTTAATTGATAAAGTAAAAAATGAATAAAAATATATTGAACACGTATTTTACCAACGTACATAAAATTAGGATACATTAAGGGAATTGTAAGGGGAGGAAAACGTACCAACGTCTACATCTAACAAAAATATTTCAAAGAATAAGAAAAGGCAATCCAAGGAGGTGTAAAATGGGATCCAAGTTGCTAGCAATGGCAGTTTGATGGGGACAACAATGGCGATGGAAGAACAATGTTGTGTGCGAGTTGTTATTCTAACGATAGTAGAAATACAGTGGTTCTATTCTACTATTGGATTAAATTCAAATTCCTTTGAGCTAGGACTCAAAATACTCTAATATATCACCTACGGCGCCCCCCATGTACTTGAGCAATTTTTAGAAAGATTTCAATTGAAACCGTTTGATTTTTTGGAAAAGGAAGGAAAGGAAGGAAAGAAAGAAAGAGGAAAGATCGTTGGTAATGAGAAATTTGCTTCTGGGAAGTCAATGCAAAATAAGCGGTTTCATCTACATGGAGGGCAAGTTTATCGTTGTAAAAGGAGTGCATATTATCATATGGAGGCGATGACAGGCCGTTGTTTGTCATTAGACTTTCGTGCTTAAAGTGAAAAAAGCTCGTCTTCTAA